TATGCTAAATGGAGTGAGGTGTTACACCCTCTTTTACACTCCACCTTGGTCTTTTGAACAGGAGTAAAGGTTTATTCCTTGTTCCCTGTTCAAGATTGGGTTTCTTGTTCCTTCTAAATTTTCCTCATTCTCTTTCACTCCCAGTAACTCCTTGTATCTTCATAGCATTATTGCCTTGCTTGGGTTAAATTGATTAAAATATATATATCACTGAATGTGTAAATATATGTAGGTATACAAACGAGCTTTCATATACAAAAACATAAATATTCTATAGTGTAAGAAAAAACAGTGCTCAATGTAAAGTAAACTTGGTCAGAAAAAAAAAGCCTTCTTTAATGAAAATATTTTCAAAAATTAAATTTTGACAGACATGTAGGCAGAGTGCTTGTGCTAGGGGGGGGAACTATTCAATTGCGAAAGTCACTTGTCTTGTACAACAATGGTTGTCCTTGTCCAATACCTTCTTGACATATTTATTACCATTCTTAGAATTTCAAACCAAACACTAGAGTAGATTGTCATTCTGCTGTCTGTATAGAGGACATGTTGTATTTGTTAATTCACCCTTATTATACAGCTACTGCTTGGTCAACTCAACCAGTGTATAGAGAATCTTTTATCAAAAAAAGACTTTAGGCTTAAAATTCTTAACTTCTACCACCTGATTGTCCCTATGGGACAATGTCCAAGTGGAAACAAGTGTTAGTCGTATGCATGTAAGTCTGCTAAGTTCAATCTCTAGATTAAGCAGACTTAGATATGAGGAAGATATCCTCTGGTATAGACTGTATGTAGGCTTGAGGATCAATTGGCAGTAGAGAATTCCAATATTCATGAATCTGGATGAAGAGTACACACAGGCTCAGTGAAATGATTCAGCCCTGTATATTGATTAAAAGGTTCAGTTCAAAGGTTACCTGGGTTGACAGACACCTGAAGGAAGAAGGTACAATGGCTGAAATGTAATAACACAGGTAAGAACATCTGTGAAAACGTAAAAGAAATCCACATCTCTCGAAGTTTCATCAGCATGGTGGATGGATGCTAATGATGTTTGAAAATGGAATGAAGTGGAAACTATTCAACAAGATAACACTTTATTAACAATATTTTGTAGTCAGGGAAAAAAAAAAAAAGTTTTCTCAAGTGTCACTAAGTTCTTTAAGTACTCTTTCCATGTAATTTTTATAAGATGTGTGTCTGGAAAACCCCCCAAAAAACTGATTGCATTCATCATAATTATAATGCTCTCCATCTTCTTCTCCTTCATTATCATGGTCCTCATCATCGTTACCTAGAGGAAGAAGAAAAGTTTCATTAGATTAATGTCAAACAGATTTTCTGGGAATGACAAAAACAAACTAAACTCAAAATCTTATTCAAGGGGGAATGTGGATGAAAAAGTTTGTAGTCTGAATTTTGATCAGAAATGTTTGATATATGATCAACCTGTTAATGTTGAACAACCTGTTTGCATCAATGTAGGTAGATTAAAAAACAAAAAAAAAAAACCTAAAGTTAAAAATGCATTTAAAAAATGAATTTCTTTTTTGAAGCTATCATTTTAGTTTTAAGTCCAAGTTAATAAATTAAATATTCCCATTAAGCAAAAAAACTTAAATGTATTTTAAACCAAATTAAACTGATAAGATTTTTTTCCTTTTTTAAAAACCAGTAAAGTCTATAAATTCATCCATATTGACAAATGAAAAACCTTTCAAAAATAAAATATACTTTTCTGAAACATTGAGAAAAAATACTGATTTAAACGTAGATCAATCTGAATTGAAACAAATATTACTTACCTTTTAGTTAAATTAACATAGAAAAGCATCTTTTTTCAGCTGTGTTAAGTCTGATGTTTGGGAAATGGAACTTAGGGGATTAATAACTAGAAAAATTACAAGCTGAATACAACATAAATATTTGTTTATTTTTTTAGTTTGTTTTTTATTAACTACCCAGTAATCTTTAGAATTCTAAAATATTTTAAGCATTTTAATACTTTATTGAATTTTAGGTACTTTGGCGTTATAACTTTACCTATAGACGCTTCTTGAGAAAATTTTAGAAAATTACCAATAAATTTATATTTTACTTTTGCTACTTCTTATATTTTATGATAATGTTATATATGGATGGTTATATTTACAAAAATTGGCATATTTATACACATATATAAAATATTGGGGTTTAGTGTAGTGACCTTTTCCATTCATGATTAGTAAATACAGTTTTAATCTAATAACAATATTACTTGGTTGCTACAAATTAATATGGAATTTAAAAAAATTTTTTAAAGTTTATAAATTATTCTAATTAAAATTTTTAAGAAGCGAAAATTCTTGTAAAAATTCACTATTCATTGAAATTATTTTTTCTTAAGACAACAGTATTCATAATATTTTTTATTTATAAAAGCAATTATGTAACAGGGCCCTGGCTCTGTTCAAACATTTAATTACATGAAATTACTGGATGGTGATCTGGAGCGACTACTAATTGGATAATAATTATTAACATTCTCAGGAGAGTATATTGAATGGTTGAGAAAAAGAAATGAGTTAATAATTGCTTTGAACAATAAAATGAATTTAAGAATTGTTCCAGAGATAATTGAAACCAGAAATAACTAGTCAAAATTCAGTAAAGTTGAGTAAAAGCAAATTTTCCCAAACCTATCTACTTCCCTCTGATAAAAAAGACATAATTAATGTGTTGTCCAGAGAAATTAAATTTGAGGTTTGTTTACATTAATACTATCTGTCCAAAGCATTTATATCTGTACAGAAGAGTAGCCTAAATCTCTTAAACAAAGAGGGCCATGTGGTTTATGCTTAAATCCTAAACTTAGTGTTTGAATATATTAATACTATCTGCCCAAAACATTATTATCCTTACAGAAAGAGAGCAGCTGAAAATTGTAAACAAAGAGACATCTGTTTTTGTGAAAAGACTCCCTAACACTAGGGTTGTATGAGGTGGAGAAATTAGATCTGTCAATAATTTTAGTGGTGGTGGGATGTCCATATAAGCAAGGCCAACAGGGTTCAAGTAACACATGAAGAGTCAGGCCCAAGGCAGAGCCATCAGAGATTTACCCCCCCCCCCCGGTTGCATGGACAACTGTCGCCTCACTAGAAGATCAGAATGAACACCCATATGACAGAAGAATTAGAGTGGTGACAGGAAGTCTTCTTTCCACCAATTTATAGCAATTATTACTATATTTTCCAGGCACTATCATGGGGCGGGGGAATCAGACTTAGTTCTACTGTAGATAATTGAGACATTTTATTCACCAGTTTTTATATTCAATAAACCTGTTGTTCTGGCGCTATCAATGGTGTTTGTCATTTTATTGAAGGAGTTTTTAATCCAGGCTTAATTTCCAATGCAAGACAAAATTACCATGGCTGTAGATAGGAATTACACACTTTTGTCTGTGCTACACAATGTACATATTAGACTTCACCATCCATCCCAATATTATAAGATTTTGGGAAACTCAAACAACCCAATAAAGGAGGGAAAAGAAATCCGGATGACCTGTAAGGTCGGTGTTACTCAACAAAGCTAGTGGATGCTAATGACTGAAGAAGAGAATAAGAAGTGGGTGAGTGTTACAATTAAAAGCTTTTCTAATGAAATAATCTTAGTTTTATTGCATTTTTTATTTTATATTCTAGTGTAGATTTTCTGTAACTAGGGGTCTTGTTGATTTAAATTCTGTAATATAACTATTAGGATAAAGAATTTCTTTAAATTTCATAAAATTGAGTGAGTGAATAAGTAAAAGATATAATAAAAAAAAAAAAAAAAGAATTTTTCCAAGATTTTCTAAAAAAGAAATGTTTCAAAAATAGTTTAATTTCTGAAAGTTTCACTAAAATCTGACAGTTATCTGATTTTTGCAAAATTTTCCAAATTAATGTTTTTCAATGCAAAAAGATGCAAAAATTTACAGTTTCAAATTTTTAACCAAAATTTCTAAGAATAAAAAAAAAAAAAAGAAATTTACATAAAAAAAATATCCTCTTAATAATAACTAAGATTTTGTCTGTATTATATTTTGCCGATTCTTTTTTATCATGTAGGTGGTACCTACATTAATACATTGTACCCTATTTTGCTGCTCATAAGACATTTTTTTTTCCTATAAAATATCTCCAAAAATCACCCTTAATCCTATAAATCAAAGTTCGGTGACAAGAGTTAACTTCTTTTAATTATTACATTCCAAATTGTTACCATGGTAATTCTTGGCCTGTGATGAATTTGTCATGACGAGTCAGGTTTTCATGCTGAAATAGTCTATTCAGTGGGTAAAATTGGAGATAGTGGGGAGGGCTATAAAGTACAAGGGAAAATATTTTTTTCTGATTTCTTCCTTCAAAATTTGGGGGAAGTGTCTAAAGCATCGGAGTGTCTTATAAGTAGTAAAATACATTAGGTAGAAACCTATAGTACTGGATTTTTATAATTCATTTTTTTTTTTTTAAACCTATAACTAATACTGGGTTTTTATTTTTACAATTAATACTAGATTTATGGTAGGCATCAATAAATTGATATTCACCATTGAATTAAGTGCAGTGACTAGGCAGAAAATTATGTTGAAAAAATAAATATTTCTCATGTAAAATGCTTTTGTTCATCATTAGACTATGGACTAAATAAATATTTGGAAATTTTGTATCTAGTCAAAAAGTTATACTTTGGATTAAAAAATGTTTTTCACTTTAAAATGCCTGATTTTTATATAAGAATCATTATATCAAAAATCCACTTGAGAATTTGAAAAGATGATCAGCATTCTGAAGAAATTATTGGTGTATCAGATCTAATAAAACATGTGTAAAAAAGAGCTTACAACTTAAATATACATCAGTAGATAACAAGTGACACAATGCACACAAGATAAATAAAACTTGTGGGTTTGGCTTCTTGATTGCAGGGAAAATTGAACCATCAGGACAAAGGACAGTGACTAAACTTTCTTGGTTATGGCTCAGCAATAGGAGACTTACCAAGAAAACAGCGTTCCAATTTTGCAGCCAGATAATCGTCATCATCTGAATTTGCTGCATTGAATTCATCTGTAAAAGAAAAATAAATTTAACTAAATACAATGGTGAAATATTTTTTTTTTATATTATTGGTTGGGTGCATTCTTTGGGCACATGTTGAGTATACAAAGTCCCTTCTTGAATGTCAATGATGTAAATAAAAAAAACAAAAAAAAAAACAAACAAATTATTTGCTATTTCTGAAATAGACAATGTCTGAATTTGATGTGCCAGGGACATTTTAAAAAAGACCTACAGGCTCAACATCTACCCAGTCTTTTTAAATATGCATAATCTTGCACAATTACTTGCCTCATCCCTGCCTGTGCGAACCCCACCAAAAAACAAAAGAAACAAAACATTATGCCACAAAGTTGTGACTTGGACTTGGCCTAAGGGTTGAGGGCATTCACATACGTGATTTCCAAAAGGTTTCTTGTCTAAATAATCCTTAATTCTAAACTGAAACTATTTGTACCTAATAAGCATTGAGGGAAATTGTGGCAAAGTTGGAGAGGAGGTATCAACAATGACCCTAAGAAACTGAAGTTAAAAGAAGACATGACTGGTAGTCTTCAGGAATACAGTAAAGCAGGTTTCCAAAATATCCAAAAGCCATGTATCAAGGAAAGAATTTGATAAACTCGATAATGAATGATTGAATGAATAGTTATAGAAATTTGGTTGATGTGGTTACACTTGAAAAGGAAATTTCTTAGATAATTGCTGAAACATGAATGTCTATAAAAGTGAACATTACGTGATGGGAAATTCAAGGACTAGCGAATCAATTGGTATGGCAGCCGCTGATATCAGAGGAGGGGTGTCTTTCATTGACTTAGAAAGAAAATGGAACTGTCTGGATTTCTTTTTTCTTAAAGTTTATTTTTCTTATCTATCAAAAGTCTGCCATGCGATAAAAACAGGTTTGGAGAAATGGATTTATTCTTGAGGAATTAGGAAAACCCATATCATTAACAAGAGGCGAGACAGACGGGGCTTATATTTTTGTTGGTGAAAACAAATTGGGAAATTTAAACAAAGAATGAACCTGCTGTGAAGGTTGAAGTTATGAAAACAGAGGGTAATCTGTTTTGTGTTTTTGCTGGATGAAGAACAATTTTATCTCTTCCTTGAGAATTTCAGCAAACATATTTTCATGGACAAAAACAGATCCTGTTGCTGCTAAAAGAGTGATCAGGCTTGTATTTTTGCTGGACATAAATAAGTTCAAGAATGGAGAGATAATTTTATCTCTACCTTGAGGAAACAAGAGAATTAAAATTAATGATTAGAATAAACTATTCCCTTTCACCAACACGATTTAAAAATTAGATATATCGCAAAGGCAGTTATGCCAGCATTAAGAGATAAGCTGAGGTGGAATGCAGAAAAGGAAGGAGGAAGAGGGAGAATTTGTCACCGCCTATGTGGAGTGTTGGTGTGAGATGTGAAGTGAAGCAGGTTGGATTTTAGGGGAGCAAGAAAGCAGAAATAGGGACCAAAGAATCCTTATTAGGATTAATGTGAAAATTGAAGAATCAATGAATACAAAGAACCCTTTGGCTCTATACCAGTTTTGGACCGAAGTACATATAAGCAGATAGCTTTGAGAGCTTGAAGACTTGGGCTGAGAACCTGCATTGTGTCTCTGGAATCCACATCAACTCTTACCAGATTTCCTGATTCTGAAGAACTTTATTCCCAAATTATTAAACGAGGCACAATGTCACTATAGAGATTGATGAGAGAAGGGTTAATTTTTTTTGTACCAAGAACTATATAAACCAATTGAAGATTAACCCAATGAATCTTTAGTTTTTTTTTTTTTTTTGTTGTGAAGATATTTCTTCCTTAATATAGCACCCACTATGGCTTGAACCAGTGCTGTGATTATGACATTTGATCTTCCACTGCTGTGAGATGAAGAATACAACATGGGCAGAGTTGGTGTGGATTGAAATGACCAGCAACCAACAACCAACTTGGACCAGCATCAGCATTGACCAGTGCAGAGTTAGCTCAGTGGTTAAAATGTCGTCCTAAGACCTTGAGAACTGGACCACTAAATGGGGTTACACCACTGGGTGTAAGCAGTGTAAGAGGTATTACAGAAGAATAAAGCTATTTCCAGTTCAATTTGCAATTTATTAGTGTAGGGTCTTCATTTGAGCTTGCCTCACTAATAACCATTTGATTTTTGTGTATATTTGTTGCAAATATTGAAGAAAAAATACTATCAACATTGAAAAGAGGGAGTGAAAACGCTGCTAATTGCTGCATAAAATAAATACAAAAAGAAAAATATTATATATTTTTATGTAAAAAGTGTTTCATGGGCCTCATTATTTCCTGGAAAAATAATCTTTTCTTTCTTTCTTTTGCTCTCCCATCATGAACATTTCTTCGAAAAAAAAAAAAAAAGGGTTTTCTAAATTGACATCAGGTATGCTCAAATTTATAATACTAAAATGCTAATCATGTATGCATGCATGCATGTTTGTTCCCAAGATGCAGCTTAAATGATACATAATATCCCAACTTATTGAGGAGCATATTGTATCTTGAACCTCTGGCAAGTGCAGTACCAAATTGCATTAAAATTTAGACAAGGAGTTCTTGAGCGAGGGCCGTTTTCTTCGTCTGTGTTTACAGTATTTTTACTAGGAAATTCAGCATTTCTTTTGATACATATTCTTATAACAATCTGTGTATATAAACACTTGCATATTATATTCCAACTACAATGTGTGTGAAAAATAATAAACATACATAATACATTATAACAATATTAAATAAATTTAAATATGCATAACACAACATATATTTATACAATTCACTAAATTACATTGGAACTTCTTTATAAACAACTACTTGAAACATGAAGAGGCTATATGTATGCTATATAAGAGTAAATGTCATTGCCAACACTGTGGCTTGAAACTAGATCACTAGTGAGTAACACAGGCGATTCCATTATTAAGTAGATCACGTGATCAAAAGGAAGTGAATAAATAGGAAGTAGCGTGATGACTATACAGATCACTGTTCACATTTCCTGTCTATCCACTATTGCTATATGTTCAATCTCTCTACTATTATATGGATTATGATTCTCTTCTCATCATTATACTATTTGGCGATTACTACTTGAACAAGTATTACTAGTGCAGATATTATTGGAAGGCATTACTACCGGTGTCTACAAAGTCTCTAATATAACGAGCATTTCTTGAAATGATAATGAGCTTTCATTTGACATAACAAAAGTGACATGCAAAGCTGTCCAACATCATAAAAGTGTTGACGAGGATTCGCAAGGAATCATAAAAATGTGTTACATGACTTGATAGTAAATAAATAGATATGCGCTGATTTGCTGCTGTCAAAATTATTTAAGGTTGCATGGTGGAGCAATAAGATAGCAGCTTGTATTGAGGAATCAGGGAACTGAGTTTGAATTCCAGTTGAGTTCATTACATTCACTTACAGAATGGTATGAATCCATTCCTTTTCCTCCACCAGCTATGGGTAAATAGCAGGACAGACTGAGTCCTTGAGTAGCAACTAGTATAGGAGGAGGAAAAACTGAATTCAAAACCAGCCTGGAGAGGATTGAGCTCCATCAGGCTATCTTGCCCAGGAAGCATCACTGCTACTATGGCTGCAGTACATGTGGTGCTCTTATGGCCCTGACGGGTTACAGGTTTTGTGATTGTGACAGTTATTTAAAGGAAAAGAAATAATAATTCAATCCTTTGATTATTCTCCTATCTTTTTATAAAGGCAAAAGGGTTTACTCAATAACAATTGAATTATACTGACCTTTAGAATCATCATCATCATCATCTTCCTCTGGATCATAAAAATGGGGGTCTTCATCAGGATAATCATTTCGCCAGTTATTCTCATCATTACTGTCATCATCATCATCCTCATAGATATCTTCAGAGTCTGAATATTGGTCATTGATAAAAAGCTCATCTTGTTTGTAGACATCAACATAAGGAATATTCTCCAGCCAAGAATAATTAAAGTGTGGCTGGTTGATGTAGTACAGGTCATAAACATAAGTCTTGTCAGCGTCATTCATTGGGAGTGTCACTTTTTCTTTGATCATTGGAACAGAGTTGCAAGTCACAATTTCCTCTTCAGGGCTCTAAAAAGAACAGAAGACAAGGCAGCAAACATTATGAATCAATGACGTGAAATGAACCTGGGACTTACAGACATTCAATGTAAATAATCAGCAGAGTCAAGAAATAGAAGATCTGTCGGTAATATACCATTATCTGAACAGCTTACCTGAATGTTCCATATCTTGTCATGATCTTGGAATCTGTTTTTGTTTAGTTCACAACAAAGTCATAATCAAGAGAGATTACATTAAGTAAAAGATTTTGATACTGGAATAAAGGTGCTTGTTTTTTTTATTTTAGAATTATTTTCCTGTTGTATTCTAGGTATTAAAAAAAAAAACAAATACATTAAGACAAAAGGGATCTTTTAAAAAACAATGCACTCAATGCATTTGTCTTTCATTGTAATAAGTGTGACCATAATTTTGACTTAACACAATACTGCTTTAATTAAAAGAGAAAATAATTTAAGCTGAAAATGTATAGAGAGTGCACTAATTTCTAAGTCTGCCCCAATAATTTTATATCCAAGATCTTATTGCATAGCAACTTCCTTAAAATTACTGCTATTTCAATATGGAATATCTAAAAACAATAGTGATAAAAACTAAAACAAAATGGCAGGAAGCTGACAGATCAACAAGGTTGCGTTTCTAGACATGATGGATGCAAGAAATTTAAAGATAGGTGTTTCTGCATCTTGCATTTCTCTTTATGTATAACTATAACCACCAGTTGTCATATTTTGTTCCTTATATATATATATATATATATATATATATATATATATATATATTATATATATATATATATTAGCAGACATCTGTTTATCTCGTGAGATAAAGGTAGTGCCCTGTTAAGCTAAAATTCAGTCCTTTGGTGCTGAAATTTTAGTGATCTCTTTAGTGCACAGGTCTGGGTAATGATGCATGGAAGTTGTGTGCTGCCCAGACTACATGTTCCCATCACACACTCTTGGTGCCATACTGACAAGATCCAAAAGAACAAAGAGCATTATATTTTTGAACGGCTTTTGGTTGCAGGAGATCTTGGAAAGTTGTTAAGTTTTGAAAGTCAACTGCCCTTGGGGGCTCCACTCTGTGTTTTCTGTCTGGACTTAATTCCATACCATTTTCTGTGTTTGGATAGAACCACAAGACAGTGGAACTTTAAAATCAGGGTTTTTCTTCCCTAGATGAATTGCCTTCTTGGGCTGTTGAGCTCCATCTACAGATTTTCAGCAGATGGTTATGAGGTGTCAGTTGCCTGCCTTCGCCCAATGGAGATGGACTTAGTTGTCAGAAGCTATTTGAGACGCATGCCACGGAAGCATTTTATAGACAGTGGGAGCTTGTCCCTGGCTATGAAAACCTTTTATACATGTGTGTGTGTGTGCGTGTGTGTGTGTGTGTGTGCATAGTTCAAAGGAGTCCTTTTGAGACAAAACATCACATAGGATTTTTTCTCCATTCTAGTATGTGGATTCCAAATCTGTACTCAGAATTGTTATGACATGTCAGGATTTTGCCTTATGTACATGACTGGGAAGACCTTGCCTTATATTTAATTACACTGGGCAACAGTGAGACTTTTTGTCTTGTACCCTGGCAAATCAAGTATGATGATTATGAATCCGTATTCAAAATTATCCCATGTCAGTCTTTCAAAGCAAGCAGGCCACCCTCTCTGTGTAGTTTTTGATATTTCTTAGAGAAGAAACAAAAAAGGTTTTATATTTTGGTCTCGATTGATAAATTGAATACTTGTTAGTAATTTTGCTTTGTTGCCTTACTTTGTTTGTCAGTTGAGTCATCAATTCACAAAACAAATCCAGAATTATTTGGTTTAATACGTTTTCTTTTCTTTTTTCTCTCTCTCGCATGCACACACACACACACACACACACACTCATAATTTGCCTATAAATTGAATTATTTGAGAATGCAATTTGGCTTTGGTTCTGCTTTCTCTCCTAACATCTTTTTACATGCATCAGGATAATCGACTTGAATAAGGGATGTGATTGCATTTTAAGTGCAATCACTTCAGCTTTTTCAACAGAAGCTACAAGATCTTTTCCCAAACTGTTCACCTTTGTTCATTGATTTAGCTTTAATTTCCAGTCCTTAGAGCATTTAAATCAACTTAATCTTTTCCTTGAAGATATGAGTGCATCGTTGGGAAATATATTTTACTTGCTTCATACAAGGTAGAATTTACTGTAAATACTGTAATAATACTTTAATAATAATTTACTGTAATAACACAGTAAATTCGACCTTGCTAACCGAACGCACTTCTGTGGCCAAATCGGTAAAGGCACGTCAAGCTAAAAGACGGTTCCGTATAGAATACAGGTTCAAATCCTGTCGGAGGACAAATTTTTTCTGTGAAAATTTCTCAGACATTCAGGCTGGTAAATGTTGTTTAATACTGTTTATTATAAACAGAGCATTTACTAAAATATTTGTATCTATAAAAAGAATGTATAAACATAAAAATGTCTTAAAATAATTATCGGACTTTGTCCATTTCATAATTTGTGAAATCAGTCTTATATTTAAAAAGTGGGGAATAAAAGGTTGGGGTGGGAGAAACATATGCTGGTGTTAAATAATAGTCTAGCAGTTTATTTTATTATCTTCCCAGATTTCTGTTCTAACTGATAAGTCATCAAGGCATGCCCACCGCCAGGGTATTAAGAATTGGGGAGGAGGGGGTGGGTGACATCAGGTCCAGTGGAGCAGGGTATCAAGCATGAAGTGTGGACTATTGGTAGAAGTGCATTTTCTTGCATTAAAATTAGTCCATATCATAGATAAGGGGAGGTGTCAGAGAGTAAATCTCCACTCACCCACTCCTTGTCTTGGTGATTGGCCTGCATCATGGACTACATGCCCTAGTTTCCAAGTCACTCTTATAGCTAAAAACATATCTATAAATCTATATGAATAAAAACAAAAGTAAAACTTCGTCCTCTGATGGACTTTATCTAGGCAAATGTAAGGATTTATAATTAGATAAGATTCAATAATAACACTCTCAAGAATTTTCCGTCCAAGTTAATTTTTTTTTAAATAAGTAACTTTCTTTAGACTTAAATTGTGGCCAAACTTATCCCAATGCATGGCCAATGCACTTGATAAACTGTTGTGTATAAAATCCTTTTTATGTTTATAGATATGTTATTTTATATTTCTGCATGTTTCTTCAAAGTATCTTAAGGAGAAGTTGTGACAATTTATTTCATAAATATATTTATATATAAACATAACTCTGTGGCCCAGTTTTCTTTCAAATGTCTCTGCATGACTATAAAATTGTTAAAAAAAATTAAAAGAAAATGGTTAATTTCATAACCTTCTATTATTTAAGATATATAACTGTTGTAACCTAGGGAGAGGTTACTGAATAGAAGAATCACACGAAAGTTGGTAATGAATGATAATACTTACGACAAGAACAACACATATAAGATTCGCCAGTGGCGCATAGAAGTAGTAGTCAACTGCTATAAGTGAGTCAAGTGAATTCCACAATGAATCTCCAACTGCAGACCAACATACAGTATTTACTACTGTATTTATATAAATGGGGACATACCCATTATCGCCCGTAGGTATGCTACAACAATAACATATAAATTAGTCGAAAACTAAAATAATATATTAATTACATTATTTAATAAAAAATAAAAACTTTTACTCACTTTTTTTTTTTTTATTAGACATTAAATTATGTCACTTAGCATCCTCCATAATTGACCTAGACTTTTCAGTTCACCTGATGAATATTTATGAGCATTCTTAAATTTAAAAGTTTTGAAAAACTAATGACATTTTTACTTTTCTTTATAAATACTTATTGCAAAATAAGATTCTTAATTTGTCTTGATAAAGTCTGTCAGCTAAGATAAGTTTTCCTTTCGTCTTTATATATATATATGTGTGTGTGTGTGTGTGTGTGTGTGTGTGTTTGTGTGGACATAACTTTTATCTTACTGAAGTGTTCTCTGCATACATAAGTGAATTGCTCATTTCTACATAGTGAACTTTTTTGATGATGCAATAGAAATAGATTTGTCTGTTATTTTAAACTTTATAAAATGTCTTAATTTATTTATGTCAGATTATTTTAGCACACAAATAAAAGTAATTAATTTTAAATGCATTATACTTTTAAAATATCCAAAAACTTATACATTGCTGTCATTTTTTTAATGGCACATATAAACTAATTGTACATACAACAGTCCTATTCAGTCAGTAATACTTGTAGTATTTCTTGATCACCGATAAACCATTAAGCCTGATTTTCAATTTATTTCTATAGTAAAATCATTTACATTTCTGCTTAAATCATGAATGCCATTAGGATAATAGGAATGCCTACATGTACTACAGCCATAGTAGTAGCAGGTATGTCTAGGGCAAGATAGTCTGACTGATCCATTCTTCAGCTTGATTTGGTATTCAGTGCTATCCTTCCAGGCTGGACACCATATCAAGGCTAAAGGGCCCAGTAAAACTATTTACAATATATTTCAACAGTGGAAAATAATTCTATGTAATAATTATAGTTATAATAGCTACAATCCCGTTTCCCTGATTTTGAGTGATTGAGTGTTAAAACATGTTAAAACAAATTAGGCGTAAAAAAAAAAAAAAAAATAAATTGTAAAATTCAATTTCCATTTCTCCCCTCTCCTGACTGAAATACTTACCCTAGTTTCTCAAAAATAATATGCATTTTTTTTTTTTTACTGTAAATTATAGGTGATAGCAGAGGTGCATATTACAAATAGATTTAGACAAAAACATTTTTTTTCGTTATTGATTTATAATAATAAATACGTACTTGTTGTTCTAAAATAAGAAAGATATCCCAATTTTCATTTTAAATCCAACAATAATAATTAACATTTTTGTCAATAAATTTATGTTTAGTAACTGCACTTTTTTATTTGGCAAAAAAATAAAAAATCTATAAAAAGGCCAATTTTGAAGAAAAGAGAATATCAAGTTAACGATTTATTGAAAATTTAATTATCATCATCATCAACACTTTCTATTATAGAATCAATATCTAAATTATCATTAAACAAATTATCATTCACAATATTATCTTTGTCCTGTTTTAAATTCTCTTCTGCCTCTTCATTCTCTTGCCAAATGATGCCATCTTCAGAGCCATCCATGGCTGTCGTGGGACAACACTTCTTGAAACCTCTCTTTATAACATCCTCATTGACATTTATCGGGAAAACCACATCGTAATTTTCAACATTATTTTAGCTGCTTAGTTTTGATTTTATTCTTGGTTTAATAATTTCTTTAATTTTATAGGACTTCATGGTAAACATTATTTTTTAAGAAAATTTATTTTTTTCCTTTTTAAAAGCAAAGAATAAATTCTTAGAATTTTTTACTACTAAGCATGCAACACCTAACTGCCCATGTGTAAATATTTCTTTCTGGAGCCAAATTCCAACTTTTTGAAGCGTTTGACCTTGTGATTTGTTTATAGTTCTTGCAAACACAAGGCGAACTGAAAACTGGATTCTTGTTAAAAAAAAAAAAATTTGGTGGTTGCAAAGTTATGAAAACACCTAAAAAGTAGTCAAATTGAATTGTTTTCACACAAGAACAACTGATTTCAGCTAGTTTAGGCAGCTTAGGTAAAGTCATATTAAAAAAAAAAATTTAATATTGTACTTTGTACCCTCTTACCTGTATGCACTTCTGCCCAAAATTTGGTTTCGATCAGTCAATGTATGGCTATTTTAGAGGGTGTGACGGATGGACTAACAGAAATCACAGAATTTTATATATAGATAGTTTTCATGCATTCCTTAAAAATCCCCTCAGTTCACAATATTAAGAACTTGCTTATTATTAATTTTTATTTCTTTCTGACAAGGCCATTTCACGTTTTAACTCCCCCAAATTTTGAGGGGAGCACCTTGTATGTGTAGAGTGAAGTTTTAATAAAGCCTCCCTATAAGAACAGCTAGTGATCATTATAAGAACAGCTAGTGATCATTATAAGAACTCTCACCTGATTCTGTGTTATATACTCCTGCTCCATGTCATAGAGGCAAAACAATTTCTCACTTTTTTCACTGCCTTCTGCTTCTTTTGTTTTATCATCTTTCTTATTGGCTTCTGCCTCCTCATCGACGATTTCATCAATCTTATCAAGCTGTTTGGCCCTGAACTGTGACACAATGTTGTATCTGTTCTTGTTTGAACTGATCTTTTTAATGACCCGGTTCTGGGCTGAGATGTCACAGTTAATGTGTCGTTTGTACTCCTTTGCAAGCTTTTCCTTCCTGATGGCATTTTTGATGTGCTTGGAGATTTCCTCATTCTGGTGCGGAGAGAATAAAAACAAATTAAATTCCATTATAAAAATTTATACAAGCATGTATAGCAAGGGTCACCAAAGACTTGGGGGCATAGGTCAGGAGAGGACATCCCATGAACATACAAGTAGATGAATGAAAGGGGAAAGTGAATTTCCCCTAAAAAAAAACAAACCCCAAAAACTACATGAACCTGAAGAAGGCCAAAGAACACATCAACCAAAAGTTAGAAAATAAATAAAGTAATAAGGATGAAGAAATTGGTCCATATTAACCAGAATAGGATAACCAAACAAAATGCTTTTCTTCAAAGAGTACAAAATTTTTTTTTAAATTATAAAACTTTTCTGATGTTTAAATAAAAAAAAAAAAAGTACTGTATATACATGCATATCACATGACTTCTGAAAACCTAATTTTTAAGCTAATTTTAAGGGGATTGCATCATACACAAAATATAAAATTAGAGTATGTACTGCTGGCTATGCTTTTGACCAAACTATATATCCATTTATTGTAGTCAAAAAGTACAGCTGTATTTAAAATAAACATGATTTTGATAAAACTGATGTTTTACTTAACTGTATTAATAATGCATGTAATATTCACATATTAGTATCGTATTATAAATTGAGGAATCGGAGAGCTGAGTTTGAATTCCAGTTGAATCCATTACATTCATTTATGTGCTAATACCCTTGGGAATGGTATGAATCCTCTTCTCCTCTTAGCTATGGGTAAATAGCAGGACGGACTGGGTTCTACAGCCTTGGATGGCAACTGGTCTGCTGCAGAAAGAAATGGCAACCTACTGCGGGAAAAAATCTTCCTCGTCAGTCATGTATCAAAAGATACATGATCACCTATGCATGTATCATGCATGGCACATAACTGACTGACTGATTATAAAATACAAACATAGCAAATATGTATTTTTTCTATTGTTTATGTTTATAAGATGTTTAGCTGTTTCTCGTTTGGTTGTTTATGGCTGCATTCGTTTATGCAATGAGTATAGCATTACTAAAAATACTTTTATCATTCTCCTTAACTAGAAGATGGGATAAAGAGATAGAGGAAAAGAGGTTAGTCGATAAAATTTGGTCTCTCAAAAAAGGAACTCACATGATAAAATGATTTTTTATAAGTGAAAATTTGGGGGTTGCGCAATATGCAAGATCACATGTTACATGAATATATACAGTAAATAAATATAAGAAAGGTTTCAATTAAATTCTTTATTTATTATATATGTTAAAATTACAAGAAATATAATTATATCTAAATGCCATTAATTAGGTTATTAACAACAGCTACTACTACATCAATAATAACTTATATGCGAGAGAGAGAGAGAGTGTGTGTGAAGCATGTACCTTTTGGTAGAAGTTTGTGATAAAAATAAATTTATCTTTATTAAATTTATATTTAATATATATTTACTAATATATTTTAATTACTAATTTAACTTATAATATTTTTATATAATTTTATTTTTATATAAAAACATTTTAAATATATATATATATATATATATATATATATATACACACACACACACACACTTATCAGCTGTCCATATACCTCATAACACCCTCAAGCACTTAGCCTTGGAGTGGGTAGAATGGAGATCAACAGGTTTTAGTGGACTCAGCAGTTTTCAATCAACTTGTCTGAATTGTCAAGAAGTGAGAGCAATATCTAAAAGGTCAGCCAATCTAACAGTGATCTCACCCCACAATCCTTACTCTTGCTCCATATGCGGCCTCCTTTGTAAATCACTAGCGAGTCTTAAGTGCCACTGAATCAATTAAGTTGTTAGATCCTCATACATCAAAACTGATGGGAGAGTCCATTATACACACACACACACACACACACTCTTTAAATTTACTTCTACCTTCAGCCTAAATGGGAAGTAATATTTTTTTAAAATTACTAATCTGAATAATATTAGGCCACACATAAATATAAAGAAGATTGAAGGATGATTCATTTTTTTGCTGGTTATTTGAAGCCAGAAAATATTTCTAGACTGCAAGAATTTTTTGGATATAACAATGATTTACTGATACAAGTACTCCCCCATCCCACTCCCAAGAGTATTTGTGTGTGCTATAGGATCCAAATCCTATATTCCAACAAATGACTAAAAAAACACAAAGTAGATTTGCACACCCGCAAAATCGGATCAGAACGACCAAAAACAGATTTCACAATAAGGTGTGAAATTAATTTTCTGACCAATGAAAGGAGGCGATTTGCTAAACCAAGAAAAGATAACGAGCCAGTGTGAAAAAAAAGTCAACAATAAATACAGAATTTTCAAGTCAGTCGCCACTCAGTCAGAGAAGGGCGCAAAAGATCACAGAAGATTGACAGTAAATTTCATCACTGACTCAACCCGAAAAGTGGAGTAGGAAGGAACAACAACAACAACAACAAATTTACAACTGGCTTCAAAACAATTCATAAGTACATTTTCCTTTTATCTTTATTCCTTATTCACACTCTTTTTCAACTTAAATTTCTCGCCCTTTTTTCATTTTACAACTATACAAAACAAAAGAAACAGACATTATTCTGCTACTCTGTTAAAAGACAGCGAACACAGACATTTTTATCAAAATCATATTTTTGCTTAAACGAACTAAAACAGTAATCTTTTTTACCCTATTCACAAGATAATAAATATACAATGTTCTATTTTTTATAAACGTTCCTTATCGTGTTGTTTCTTCTTGAAATTTGCGTTGTATTTTGTGGGCAGGGTATCCCGTATTAAATTCTCCTTTAATCCGGGTACGCTGAACCCCACGGTGCATGTGTGCGTGTGTGAATATAACAACTCCTGACTGGAACTGAAACTCGGCTCTCTGATTTCCGATTCAGAGCCATTATTCATTATGCCACCTGCACATCCAAGCTTACTGTTCCTGGTATTCTTAAGTAGCCACCCATATAACTACTGACCAGCTTCAACGTTCAGTGATCAGGCAAGAACCTGTGTCTCAATATGATATGGTCCGAATTCCTTATGAAGAAGAACAGTTTGGTACTGAGGCTAAATGCATCAATATAACAAACTTTTCTTGATCTGAATAGTTTTGATATAAAAACTATCTTCAAAGACTGACAACACTGTGACAAAAATAACTTTTATAATTAAAGGCATTAAAAATGTAGAAAAACTATTCCATAGTCAAGTAAGTAGAGATGTTGGTACTATTTACTTTAATTAAAGAAAAAAAAAAAAAAAAAATATATTGATTATAATAATAATAATAAAAAAAGAGTTTAATGAGACAATATTGTAAAGAACAGAATAATGTTTGACAGGAGCTGAACTTCAACTTTGAAGTTTATGTGTTTTTTAGTTTCTGTTCTTGCCTGGAAATGATTGCTCAGGAGCAAAAGAGAGACACATTGGTATGTTTTTAAATAAAATATCCAGCATTAAGTTGACGGAAGATAAAGATTTGAACGATAAAATTTTGTTTTTATTATTTTACTTTAGTTTTGGGGCATTTTCCCCCTTAATGTTTGTATATCCTTTTTTAGCAAATTTTTGGAGGTACCTAAAAATTGTGATCAATTTTTACCAGAATGTAGGTTTAAGTTTAAAATATAATTTTGCAGTGCTTTAAAAAGAAAAAAAGAGGCTTTTCTTTTTTAAAGAAATGCAAACAAAAATAAATAAGGAATTGTCGTGTTTTGAAATTTGAATAAACTAAACATGACATCAGCTGTAGACATCTAGAAGCAGTAAATTAATCACCCGCTTTCATCAACGATTGCCTCCTTGACTCGACATCATCACAAATTTCCAAAGAAAGAAATCATTCCGCGAAAATCAAAGTGAATATAAATTGAAAAACAAATTTAGATAAAGAATTAGAACGAAGAAAAACTTATCAGCGAGTTAAAATATCTGGAAATTTGATTATTTTTTTTGTTCAAACTTCGATGAAACTGAACTTTGTTTAGTTTTTTTCTTTTCTTTATTTTGGTAATAGAATCAGGACCATAATTCGTGACTTAAGATTTACCGTTTATTTTCAAATACATTTTTTGATTTCTTTTGAAATTATATATATAATATATTCATTCGAGCGGATGCTTGTTTTTCTTTTTTCTCTGAGGTAACGCTTTTTAGATGAAGCCAACTATTCTCTATATTGTTTGTGTATGAACAAGAGATTCATGTAGTAAGTAAATCAAGAAAATTGTATTGTGATTGTACCCCAGATCATTTTTAGCCCATTAAGCGAACCAACCATCACTAATGATCGTAGAGAACCTTGTTCAGTACGTCTTTGGGTGACTACTTAGAGTGCTCTTCGATCTCTATCAGGAACAAATTCTACAAAGTAATTAAATTCTTCAGGATTTATTTCAATATCAATGGATATCTTTTTTTAGTCCATTATTAACAAGATTATTATAACTTTCATTTTTGAGTATGCGAGTTATGACCCCTGTTTTATGAACCCCTGCCACATTCTCCTGACTTATTTTACCTTTATTTTTGACTTTTGATCTCAAAATCCAAATTGTTACCTTACATTCTACGACTGTTATATAAATTCGGAAAATAAAGAAAGTGGCCTCCGACAAGATTTGAAATCGTGTGTATCCTTCAATAAGAACGAATGTTGTTAAAAAAACGACATAATAGTTTGGCTTCTGTGATTTAAGAGGACGGAAAATGCAACACCGACATCCCAAGAACGGGCATGCATTGGAATAGGAAAAGATGCCTTCCAAAAGGCAAGCAAAGTATTACGAAACAGGGAAATTTCGTTTAGAAATAATGAAAAATGAAAAGACTACTTAACTTTTGGTCCCCCTATGACAGTGCGTAGGCGATCTCCTCACAGGAAGAAGAGACAACACAGGAATGTCTTTAGTTTCTTTACACACAGTAATGGTGATTGATTAAATTGGACTCAACGTGACCAACGACGAAGTTTTAAGGAACAAAAAAAAAGAAATTGAAATTTCTACGGTGCATAATGAGGAAAGGGCTGGGAGAATTTGACACAGGACATAAGAAAGAGGAGCGGGAGAAAGCAGCAAATTAATTTACCCCACGAGCGTGTGTACATGGTTGGCAGAACAAGGATTAAAATAGATAACAGAAAGACAAACATTGATAAGAGCTACAAAGGACAGGAAGTTGTGGATAGCCATAATCACCCACGTCCTGAAGAGACACGGCACACAGAAAATGAAGTCTAATATGATGCTGTCCACATCAAACTAGCTCCAAAGGATAAAAACGGAATAATAAAAAATGTTTATGATGAAAAAAATAATAATAAACAATGACCTTTCTTTGTGTTGTGATTTTAAAAAAAATAATTACACGAAGTTTAATTATTAAAGTTGCATAAGATCTGCAATTTTACCCAATTATGTGAATTGTTAAAAAAAATTCAATTTTTTTAACCTAAGAAATTAATTCTTAGATCTCAGAATTCTTTTCTGTTTTTACTTAGTGATCAAAATTTTAAAGATAATTAAAATAACAGATTTATTTGGAGTTTTATTTGTGGAAGAAGAGAAGAGTTTCCACTTTCCACTTATGTCAACTAACAACATTTTTGTTTTGTTTTTTTTAATTTACCAATAAAAAATGAAACAAAGCAAGATGAAAGAAAACGTGGTTTATTTACTTACCTTATCTGGGACGGTTCCTGCAAACTTTAACACTTGTGTTGTGATATTTTCTTCAAGGTTTTCAGATTGTTTTTCACTTCCATTCTCACATTTCTGTTTCTTGCAACAAGAGACCAAAATTTTTTCTAGCGGTTCGTCGGTTATACGACGTTTTAAACGAACAATTGCCGCCATAACTATGAAAAATGTAGAGACTGTTAATCGTAATTTACGTTTGGAAAATGTCTAGGGTAAAAATAATCCCAAAAGACCTGATCAGCTTTCTTCTGTTATTTAAATCCTAAATAAATTTACTGCATTTGATTTCGACAAGACACCAACAAGACGATCTCAGTGCAACTGATATCACAACATTAGAACAAACGGAGCTGGTACAACATATGTTTACGAAAATAACAAATACTTTTCTTTTTTTTTTTTTAATCCATTGATTTAGTTCTCATTTTAATAAATATTTATTTAAAAACAAGAAGTAAATTAATAAATTATTATTATTATTGTTGCTTTGGGGGGATTTATGAAAATTCATATATTAAGAAAAAAAATTTAAACATATCATTTTTTTTTTTAGTGGTTAGTTAAAAATGTTGAATCAGTTAACCGAAAAACGCGGAGTATGGATTGAAATTTATTTTCAGATATTATGAAATTGTTATGCTAAGAATTTCACCGTGGTGTGCTTGTTAAGCAAGCCCGTCTCACTAGATGTATATTGCAACTTGAGTTCGATCCTCAACGGGTGCATCATACTTTCGGCCTTGTGTTGCATAAGCTACGTTTTTTTATTGAATTGATAGCTTTTTTTAGTAAATTGAATGAAAGCACCGCTAACAATGTATAATTTCTTTCCTTCAACTAGCGGGCCACATTGCTTAGAAACTAAAGAAAATTTTATAAAATAACGCCAACGCCAATATATTTTTCTTAACGGTAGCTTTTTTCATTGTTATATCCAATTCTTTTTTTTGCCATAAGTTGAAACGGGACATTTTGAAATGGCAGGGAAAAGAAAGTCGACTCTTTTTTTTTTTTTTTTTTTTAAATATAATATAAAAATAATAAAAATATTATTTTATTTTGTAAAATAAAAACAACCATCACTCGGCAGCACCGAAGAAGATTTACATTAGTACACGAGAAAACTTTGAAATATTTAAAAAAAACTCATCCAATGACGACACTTTTAACATTAAAGGTTCAGTTAAGATAAATTTTTCTATGAACATTATCTTCCTTGTAGTTTCTTCTGTTCATTATGAAAAATTAGTTTAAAATATAGGATCCAGATCCTACATTGTTCTCAAAACTTCAAAATTTAAATAAAACATGGGCTCCAAATTAAATTACACAACTAACGTAATTTGATAGGTTCAAAAATATCACACGGCATGAGACATGCTGTGTGGTATTTTTTAACCAATCAAATTACGTTAGTTGCAATCCGTGCGTCTGAACTTAATTTCACCCGATCAAAGGTACAGTTGCGCCAAAATTTTAAAGCATTTTCTGGAGCCTATCACGTGACTTATATTGCTTATATAAACAACAAACACTTAATAAACAGGGAGTGGGGAAAATCATCCGAAAAAGCTACACGTTATGACGACACTCATCATAAAATAACTTTCAACTGAAGTCCAGACTATAAGTTAAAAAATCCTTTTAAACATAACCACAGTCTATATCCTTCATTCAATGCAAACTAAACTCACGTCGGCAAACAATGAAGCGACATACACTCAAACGTCAAAAACAACGGAGAGGCGCCAACTACAGAAGAGTCTCACTAGTAGAAGCTCAATAATGCTACATGCAAAAGTATGAAAGTGATAAATTTAAGTTTATTAAAATTTCAAGAAATATTGATCATGATTGAAAATGGAGAGTTTTTAGTTTAGACGAATCTATACCGCATATTGGTACAAGTATTATTTTTTTTTTAAGTATAATAAAATTTTTGCTCTTTGAAACCCGTTTCCTAACTAGTACCACGCCGTTTTATTCAGGGGATAGTCAGGCAGGAGTATATCCTGATGTCTGCAACAGAAGTAAGTGAACCTGGTCCTGAATTCTGTACTGACATCCATCATGTAAAAATGTGTCTCACATTATTAAAAAAAAAAAAGAACTTGTGTCACGTTTGCTTTTATAGGGAGATAAATAAAACCATACAACAGTATCCTTATGATGCAACAACAAATGAAACCGGAAGAAGAAAAAGAAAGAGAGAAAGAAATGAGAGAGGTTAACTAACTCGGAGTAGTAACTTTTAAGTTTCGTTAATTTTCGATTTCACTTTTTGTAGTCAACCCTAGTTATTCACGATGGCGGCTTGCTTAAAGCATGTGCTTCGGCTAAACGGGTTAAAATTGGGACATGTCGGAACGTGGAGCCCAAAGGTGAGAAGAAATTGAGTCGATTATGCATTTTATTGTTATTCCTTTATTAATCAACCTTTTGTCATGCTTAGTAGTGACCATTATTTACAAATATTTGGTAAATTGAAGACGACCCGTTGGACGAACGAGTGTGTGTAGTGTAAAATTTGCTTTTTTTTTTAAGGGGTCATGTAGGTATTTTGTGTATATTGATCTTATAATAATCTTTCAGTGCCACTGAATTTAATTATTAATTGGTAATTATAAAACTTTAACGGGCGAGATTTAAAAGTATTTAGTTTATAGTACTTTTTATAAATAAATGCTATGACCTTCACCAGGAATTGTTGATCAATAAATCAGATATGTCCTCTATTGAAGGGTCAGGAATGATAAAATGTTCCGTTTTTTTGTTTTGTATTTTCTTCTAAACTTTTTAATAATCTACAATGCAAATAAAATAGATTTATCAATCCCAAACTACATAGTTTTTTCCGCAGTAAAAACTGATTACGAAGTAATTATTACCATTTTATACAAAGGGGGGTAATTCTGTTTCTTGTTTTGAAATTTGCATTTTGTGGTTATTTTTACCGGTTGATAGATCTTTTAGAGAAGCTGGAGTTTTACTTATGAAACATTTATTCATCTTGTGACTATTATTATACCTTCTTCGTATAGTAAATCAAGTTTTGCTTAAATTATACTTTTTGCTTTTGATAGCAATTTCCTACTTCGACCCTGGAGTTGACATAACGAAAAAAAGAATCAAAATTCACAGTTACTCTGTTGTTCAAGATTATCCTCTTAGGGATGGTAATTAATTTATGATGATTAGTTACTTATTTTTTTTGGGGGGGGGATTGCATACAATGCTGATATGATACACATTTTTTTTTTTTATTAAAATTCTGTGATTTATTTTAAAAGCTGCTAATTTCCTAAAAGTTTTTTGGCAAACTGGACCTATGTGCTCGCAAAAAAGAACTTGTCAAAAAGGACTGTTTTTTTTTTTCCATTGACATCGCTATTAACTACCTTTGCCCATTAAAAAGGTTTATTGTTTTAAAAATTGATGATTAAATAAATAAATAGTGTTTATTCTTTCTGTTGTCAATTCTCAAGAACAAAGAAATGTAAATTCACTTTCATGTGTTTTTAGTTTTTATTACAATTCTAATCATTGCTTTATAAAACAATAAATATTACAGATGGAGTGACGGTAGTTAAAATGATAAAGTGTCAATGGAAAAAACATCTTTTTGACACTTCATTTTTTTTTTTTTTCTGTTTTGCAGGGATGAGGGTCAAAGTTTGCTAAATTTTCTTTGTGACAGTTTTAGGACAACAGTAAAAAAAAGTTAGTCCGGAAACCTGATTCCCACTAATTCCTCACTAAATAATTTTGATGGGTACTATGCAAGTTATAAAAAGATGTGCATGTGTGCCAGGTATTTTTTTTGTTTTTAATTGTACAAGTTAATTACAGAGTTAATCCCTATTTTTTTTAGAAATATATGATATGCATTTGACTAAGGAAGTGTCAAGAAAAAAAAAACCCCGATTCCCTAATCCAGACTTTCTTTGTCATAAGTTATTCTTTATCATGTATAAAACTAAAAATTTGTTCACATTATTCGGACTATTGTCCTCATCTTTGTCACCATATTTGTTACAACGTTTTGGCCGTTGTATGCTCTGGCCTTCTTCAGGTGGTTGGAATGTCAACATTTTTTGCTCACTGGGGTAGACTCTTCTAGTTCCGTGTACCATGTTTAATAGATGTCATTTGTCAGTTATCTACTGTTAATTCGCCTCTCCAAGTTCTCCGCTGCCTTAACCGGGTATTGAAGAGTTGTGAGTTCAATACACGGTTAAGGCAGTAGAGAACAAACCAAGAACAGTGAGTGAAATAAAAGGTTCAGTTTGACATTCCAACCACCTGAAGAAGGCTGGAGTGTACATTGGCTGAAACGTTGTAACAAATATGGCAACAAAGATGAGGACAATAGTCTGAATAATGTAAATAGTGTACATAATACCTCATCTCAGAAATATAGACAGATAAAAATTTGTTAATGTCTAAAATGACATGCTGGCCCAGTAATTGACTTGTACAGGGTGTGGAAGAAATACCTTGCACATTTTAAACTGTGACCTGGGTGGTGCTAGTGAACTTCATCTAGGTAATGTCTTACCATTATGCGGGAGGTATTTCTGTATAATTGAAAATGTTTGCATTTTATTTTTCTTTAATAATCTTCCAGCTAATGATTCCATCAAACAGTTCCAAATACATAATGACATCTATTTATTCTTTAATTTTCTGTCTTTTTTTTTTAACAGATAGCATTTGTTAGATTTGCTAATCCCAAATTTTTCATGGACAAATGTTTCCATTTTTCTCTCCTTTTTTCTTTACCTTTTTTTTAATTTTATTATTATTATTATTATTATTTACTTATTTTTTTTTTTTTTCAGTTAAGTCTGTCTACACTCACTTGTCAGAATGTGGGTCGAGTGATCAACCCCAAACACTTTTATGCTTGCCGTTCATCTAGTCAGCTCTTCCAGAGACCACACATAATCTTTGCTTCTCAGTCACTTTACAATTCTACAGAAGCAACAGCCAGCATTTCCTCTACAGGTGCAACGGTAATTTTCTTTTCTGTTTTTCTAATTAAAAAATATCCTCGCTATTTTTAAAAAAAATTTTTCAAGTCAATTTAACTGCCAGGATTTCTGTCCTTATTGATAATAAAGTCAGTTAAGATATTGTTTATATTCAAGGATTTATTTTTCTTCTTTAGACTAGCATATTTTCTGAAGTTCTCTCTTGTAATATTTTCATTATTTCATGTAATTTTTGAGATTGTTATTATCACTTCTCTTTCTTAAGCTAATCTTTCTGGCAGATATAGTCCTTAGCCTACACCAGGTGTATTTTGTAGCTATGTCTTTTCGGAGTCACTTAAATAAGAAAGCCTAAAGTCCCTTTTGAAGAACAGATAGTATACATAAGGTCGGCTGAAGAATATATCAGCTTGAATGTTGGTTTAACCCTGTCATTACATAATTAAATTTCATGTTCATTCCCATAATGATGTTAATTATCTACAAAAAAATATATGCTTCTTGCAGCATAAGGAGAGCTTTTTTTCTGAGTCAAGGGATAAATCCACTTTCCGCAATTAATGGTAATAAAATTCTGAGCAGATATATCTGCTTTCTGCATCAAAAGGGTTTAAAACATGAAAAGGACAGTTTAAAAAATATATGGAATGGCATCCATATATAAAAAAAAAATATTTCTTATGATGTTTTATTTACTCTCTAGAATTCAACAGGTGTATAACTCTTGATTTTCCTCTGTTTGGTATTCTTCCAAGGGATTTTAAGTTGTAAATCCGTTTCTCTGATGGTCTGTACTCTTCATGTTGCTGAACTGCTTCTCCTTTGAATCCATGTACTTTCCTGTGGATAAAGTTGCAGTCAGTTCTTTCCTGGCTGCTGCACATCTCTGCTTATTATTCTCTGGGGAATAAAGAAGCTGGTTCCTGCTGTCATTTTTTCATACTCTGAGGTTGTAGATTTAAACATGCAAGCAAGGCATTTGCAGTTTTTTTTCCCATTTAATTTAAATTAAATGAAAATAAGAAAGGCATAGACACATTGGTTTGATAGGAAAAATTGTTTTTAATATAAAAATACAAATTCATTTTTGTCTAACAGTTACTTCAGAACTTTTATTGTGAATTTTATTAGCAGATTTAATCTGAAATTTAGGCAAATAAGAAATAATTTCCAATCTAATGTTCTCATCATGGTGGTTCTGATCACAATCTTTTAGAGATTGTGCCCTTTGACCTTTTTCAGGTGAAATTCAGATAGATTAGAAATTGTTTATATCACCAATTATCACGGAAATGGCAAAATCTTTTTTATGATTAATAAAATTAAAAAAAATGTTTGTTTTCCATACACGTCAAGTGTTGACAGTATGAAAGTGAAAAAATGTCAGACGAGAAAGACATTTTTATTTGACATTGTTGATATAAAGTAGCTAAGGATCCGAAAAACATTTTATTTCAAGATCAGAACATAATAAATGTTATGGAAACATTACTGTCTGTGACATCCATAATTCAGTGTGGTTAATGGAAAGAGCATGAAACTGATCAAAATTTATATCCAAGTTGATAGGAAAATATTTTATCTGGTGTGAGTTTGTTGTGGCTGAGATGAAACCCCATTAAAAAATGAGGAAAATAATTGAAGAGGTAGCAGACACAGTACCAACAGGATTGAAATAATCAGCAGAATGTACCGTAGAGACTTGAATTCTAAATAGGAAACTAACAATCTATTATATCTATAATTCTCAAAATGTGTGTGTGTGTGTAATTAGATGTTTATGTATTTCCACAGTTTCGTCTGATTTCGATGAAATTTTTTTGTTTGATAGATAATTCTTCAGTGCCCATTTTGAGTCCAAATTGGCTGGAAAAAATTACAACCTTGAAGGTGAAAAATCGAAAAAACTGATTTCTTACACTTTGTGCAAAGGCAAAATTTAATGTCTGTAAAAAAAATAGTGTACTATCAATTTAGAGAGTTGAAATCTAACACAAAAGATTATTAGAATTATAAAAAAAATTAAATTATAAATAAAAATTATCGTATATTATTATTATTATTATTATTATTATGACGGTCCATGGAAATGGTTCCTTCCTTGTAAAATTGAGAATGCGAAAATGGCCCTTTTCAAGGTCACCCTCCATTCAAATTGTTAACCCTCTCCATTTGTAGATGTGCCTCAGTTGCACCCAATTGTTGTTACTAATATTGATTTTCGGGTGGGCTGATTTTAAACTTATACTGCTCCAATTGAACGGCAAAAATTTCCAGTAATGAAACACCCGGTCGGAGATTGGTTATATTGCTAGTACTGAAAAAATTTACTTGAAGACAGAATAACGAAATGAACATTTTTAATATATATTTTTTTCTTCAATGACTTTTTTTTACGGGTATAGGGGCGATAACTCTTGTTTTGCATGATCTATCAAAAATTAATGATTTATGTGAAACATTCGTTCTCAAGCATTTTTTTAAGTTTCTATTTCAAGATATTCTTACACTCCTAAAATTATTGTGCCTCTTTCTCCCAAGAGATTTGTGGGTGTGATATGTATTGATATTTATTGTAGTAGAAATTAAAACCAATATATTTAATATTTATTCCGAAATGATAGAATAAGGAACAAATAGGAAACGTTTATAAATTTAACATTTTGCTTTTATTTAAGCTTCGTCAGAAATTTTTGGTGATGAGTTATGACTTTAGGATTATGGAAATAAATTATGAGTTGTGCTTCATCAGAATTTTTTGGTAAAAAAATGAATTCTGACTTCTTTCCTAAAATTTCTTATGAAGCATAAATAAATGCAACATTTATAAACATTTCTGATTTGTTCATTATTTTATTATTCAGTTGGATTTTAATCCATATTTGATTCCAGTTCAATCTAAATAAATCATCACTTAAAATTTGTTGTATTTTTAAAAATAAATAAATATAATGTATATGCAATGGAAACTAGCAGTATGGTCTGAGTTGTATCTTATTTCAATATATATATATGAAATATATATTATATATGAAATTTAGGCAAATCAGAACTTCCAAATGTATGTGTCACTTCTAGAGAAAAGGGGAAAGGAAATTGTGTGTGTTTTCTCTACATGTTTAAACATTAATATGACAAACAAATAGGATTTTTTTAGTTAATTATAATTAATTGTGATTCTCAGGACACACTATCCAATAGTCTACCTCCCGGTTATATACCTGAGCCTCCACCATTGCCAACACCAACAGAAGAGGTTCTGAATTCTTTAGGGGAGCCAACATTTACCAGCCTTGGTCTTGGTGGTTATGCTCCTAGTGGTTGGATACAATCTGGGCTGGAAGCTCTCCATGTTGGACTTGACTTGCCATGGTGGGGAGCCATTGTAGCTGGTAAGTATATTTCCTTTTTCTTTTCTACAATTGACGGTCTGATTGCTGGGTACGGTACTGCATGATGTGAGAGTGTAAGAAAAGCATGCACCTAAAAACTGCAAGGCAAAAGAATACTGTTTATATTGTGCATAGGGCCAAGTGTTATATGTTCATAGTATTTTGGAAAAATATATATGAAGGGGTGCTGAAAAGTTCTTGGCCCAACCTGCTTCCTAAGATCTGCTAAAATGACCAAAATATCAAATTATTTTGGAATCACTTCTTTGGTATAAGCTCACTAATCAGAATAACTCTAGGATTGATAATCATTCTTCTCAAAAAAAAAAAAATCTTTAGAAGATTAGCTTTTATACATCAATAATGGAGGTTATAGTGGGCCCCCGTTTAACAGCCTGAAAAATGGAAGCTCAGTTCAAATTCTGGCTGACAAAGATAGTGTTCACTTCACACTCGTGTCCTTGAGCCAGACCTGAATCTTCTCTTCTTAGCTATTAATAAAATAGCAGGGTGCTTTTTATTTCACCTTGATTTGCAACCAGTCTAGGAGATGGATAAACCAAAGAGTGGAGTTCATGTAGAAAAGACTTGAATCCATCTCTTCTCTCTTCAGCTATGTGGAAAATAGCAGGGTAGACCAAGCTTTTTATTTAGTTTTGTTTGGCAACTAGTCTTGGAAATGAACACAGCAAAGAGTGAAGTCCCGTTATGAATTTCTCTCTTCTCTCTTCAGCTATGGAGAAAATAGCAGGAAAAACTGGGTTCTCTAGCCTTGGTTGGTAACCAGTTAAGGAGAAGGGCAATTCTGGTTTCAAAACTTCTGCCGATTTGTGACTATACCCACTCATGAGAAAGTTTTTGAGAGTAAGATAAATCAAGATCTGGAGTCTGAAAAGCATTCTGATCATTCTGGCAATTTTTGTAATAACATTGGTGCTAAACCATATCAGTCATCCTCAGCCTTCATTTGGAGAATATTGGTAGGGGTTAAAAGGTGAGTCTTGCACACACGCACATGCATTATGTATTTGGACAGCAATTCCTCTTTTATACATGTTTCATTAAAGATGACAAGCTACTGTGATTAAGCTTTTTCTTTAAATTTTCTTGTGTTCATACAAGTGTTTTCTTTACTGGACACAGTGTATAAAAACTTTTCAAAAGTTCTGCATATCTGAGTTCTTTTGGCTATTCTTTTAGCCATTATCAAGGACAATTTTTAATTTGAACTGAATGCATGTGTTTTTTGTTATGTTCATAAGTATTTTAAGTTATAGGAATTTAACGAAATGTGTGTTTGTGTGTGGTGTGTGTGTGTATATATGTGTGTGTATGTGTGTGTGTGTGTGTGTGTGTATATATATATATATATATATATATATATATATAAAAATGTGTGCTTAGATTAGTAGGAGTAGATAGGTTCACCTGTTATCAAGTTGACACTCTTCAACAAGACTAGATTTATTCCTTGTTTCCATTTTAGGATTGGGTTTTCAGTTCCTTCTAAATTCTCCTTCAATCTCGATACTTCTAATTTATCTGCCTAAACTCTGAAATTCATACTATTATTAGGTTTCTGGTTTCTTCAAAAGATTTTTCTTTCTCTTTCACTTGCATCTTAGTGGTGTTATCACCTTGCTTGGGGTGAATTGATTAAAAAAAAAAACCAACATATATAGATGCGAACAATTAAGTATTGGATAACATTTGTGTTTTTCATGACAATGGTTATCCTATTAATGTCATTAAATGTGTTATTGAGCATAAGATTAAATTCTTTAAAGAACTGGTAGTTTCTGGTCCCAACCTGTGCCCTGTTTTAGGTGGCAAAAGTCAAACATTATCCCACAGAGTGTCAGCTTGTGTTGCATCAGGTTTTCTATTGCTAGGTTATGTGTCATTTCTTCTTTTGTCAAACATGGTTTGTCCTATTTTCAAAATAGTTTTATTGTATATAAATTTAAATGTCAGTGAGAAGCTGAATATGTAGTTCAGACCAGTGAATGACTAGAAACTTGAATTGATCAGCATCTGCCTGTTGGTATAAGACTAGGTAGTTCGAGTAACTCTGAGGTTATCTCTGTCACCTATTGGCCAAAACTTACTTGACAACCCAGACTGTGCTAATAAATATGTGAACAATTCTTTCACAAGTTAGGGTTTTCTTGAATCTACAATGAGTATATCATAGCTGTCCATTGTTACAGAATGCAGAGTTTGGGCCAGGATGGTTAGTGATTGGGCAGAATACTCCATGGGCATGGTATTCTGACAGTGATAGATTGCCTTTAAGTTTTGAATAAGTCCAAAATGGTGTAAAGTTGTCAGAGGGCCACAGGATTTTTGAAGTGCCTGTATGCTTCCCACACTTTGATTCAATAGGCAGGTCCCCTGCATGTGGAGCAAGGCAAATCTAATGAGTGGGTATGCATCCCTTTGAAGTTCTTCCTCCTGTTTGCCTCTTAGAAACAGTGCTACCATGTTTGTCCCTCTAAAATGTATGAGAAAAAAAAAACGTCTTTTATCAATACCATCTATGAAATGGTGTTGGGGTCCAAGGGATTGAAGCCAGTGATTACATGGAATGCAACACCATCCCAATGGATGATGATGGTCCCTTTCAAGGAATGGTCTTTGTGCAAGTGGATTTTTTTTTTCAGTTGGCTGTACTGTGTTAAGCTTGCTCTATCAATGTTGATGAATATAATGATAATAAAATTTGCAAGATATCAAGAACACTTAATCTTAAAATATTGTTCATTTGAAACTTTAAAAAATGTCTTCTGTATTCTTTCAGGCACCATAGTTATTCGTCTCTGCATGTTCCCAATTGTGGTGCTGGCACAGAGGAATGCAGCCCATATGAGCAACCACATGCCAACAATTGCGCGTCTACAGCAACAATTTTCAGAGGCCAGAATGAGTGGAAATCCCATGGAAGGTATAATTTTTAATTTCTTAACTAGCTAATTTCAAGGTGACCAAAATTGACAATATACTCACAGTTAATATTGATTAAGGAAGAAAGCTCTGAAGATTCTTCGTCTTTTTAAATGAAGATTGCTGTTTTCCAAGAATGAGGATATGACAGATTCTTTTGTGTGGGAAAGCAAAATGTATTCTTTGTACCCTTGCAGCACATGTCAGATGTTTATATTTACAGAAGATATTCATTCATTGATCCATATTTTTAATTTTCTATATCTGTTCAGTAAATACAATGTGCGATGTACAGATTGTCATCTAAATTATGCAAAAATGAAAATAACACTAGCATCTCATTTTAACAGATATATTTACCAAAGTTTCAAAAAAAATTATATTTAAATACTTAAGAGTAAATTTATTCAAAAAAATCAACATTGGTTTCTAGATGACTTCGGAATCTCCTGCAACTCTTCTGGATGGTCTCCATGTTTAAGTTGGTGAAAGCTGCCATAATCCTTGCCTTCAGTTTATCTTTGGTGTTACAAGGAGTTTTGTTGGTCTCTCACTTAACTGCACCCCACACATAATAATTAAGGTGGATGCAGTTTAGGGAGTTATCTGGGTAAGGGGTGATGTGGTTGCAGAAATTGTCTAACAGCTATGACTGGGATCTCCTGCACGTGTGGCATGGTGCAGAGTCGTGTTGCCAAGCATAGGGGGTTCCAGCAGCCACCCAGGGAGCACTACCTCCTCAAGGCATTTGATATAGGCCTCCATGTTGAGTTTTAGGCCCTCACCAACAAATTTGGGAGTTATTTTCTTATCAGAACTATCAGAGTGTCTTTTCTGAGCTGCTGTATCTTTGTAATCATCATTAGACTCCTCCAACTCTTTCCAAATCCTCTGCACTGTCCTCAGATTGACACCCAAACATGCAGAAATGTTTGTATTGGAGTTTCTGGTGTGAATGCCAAGCAGTACATCATGCCATTTCAAAATTTCTGGCGGAGTGAATTGCATCATTGTACTCTTTTTCTCACAGACAATGCCCAACTGATCCTGCTATATTGTGCAGTTGACAAAATCAAAAACAAAGGACACATATGCATGAAATTAAAAATATAAAATGGTGACAATTTACACATCACACCCTATATATCCATATGTACCCATATAGTAAAATGTTTGCCTAGATGGTAAATATGTGCGTGTGCACCTGTATAGTAAATGTATGATGGAAACATTAACATCTTATTTCTTGTTGATATGCTTTTAATATTTTTCTGTCCTTGCTCTAAATACAATCAATTGAATGAATGAAAATTTGGTAATATTTAACCTATGTATCTGCAAAAAAACTGTTTCAAAGTGACAGTTTTTCTCTTGATACTGTTATTACAGTGTAGTCCCTTGTCTTGGTTTATAGTTTTAAAAAGTTATGTTTAGAATTTTAATAACAAATGTCACGCATTATTTAGTTGTTAAGCAGATAACGACATCGTCCATGCGCCTGGATTTACTGGTCTGGTCGACTGTCTCCAGGCAAGTTATAATGCTCGAACTTACAGTACCTTGGGAGGAGAATTTGGAAGAAGCCTTTGAAAGAAAGCTGGAAAAATACCAGGAGTTAGTTGAGAGATGCAGAGTTAACAAATGGTGGACTACCTGTCTCCCGGTTGAAGTCGGATGCCGTGGTTTTGCAGGAAGATCAGTATGCAGTGCTTTAAGTCGGCTTGGAGTCAGGGGAGTAAAAAAGAGAAAGGCCATCAGGGCTCTATCAGAAGCTGCAGAGAAAGCCTCAAAATGGCTATAGATTAAAAGATCTGTTCCCTGGAGCTCTACAACGGGGATTGGTGGGCGATGAGGGGCAGTTGGGAAGAAAAGAAAAGGGATATGTAGATAGTCAATGTGGGGAGGGTCCTTTTAATTTTTTTACTTTTTATATATTTTTTTTTTCTTTTCACCTTTTTCAACAATGCTGTCTTTGTGTTCCTAGCTGTCTTTTTTTTTTTTTTTTTTGCATTCCTAGTCAGGAGGGGAGAGAGGAGGAGTAAAGAAAGAATAGAAAGAAGAAATGGCGGTGGTGGGAAAAGAAAGCAAGAAACGTTTCTGATCATAATTCCTTTGACCAACGAATGTGTTCGATATTTTCTTTTTTTTTTTTTTCTTTTTGGGGTTAAAGTGACACTTTATAGGAAAGGAAACTTTTCTTGTCATTACTTAGCTGTTATGTCAGACTGTTCGTTGAGAATGTGGATCGTTCCGCATGGTCAAGCTAAGATGGAAAAAAGAAAAGAAAAGATGCGCATGCTGTCTTTTCTTTTTTTGTATCGTCTTTGGCTGAGGAGGAAGTGATGTAAGTCATTTACGATTGGTCAGCAGTGGCATTTATTTAACGAGTCCATTTGGTGCGTGCTTGGTGTATTTTTTTTTTTTTTTTTTGCTTCAGGATCGCCTGCCGGAATGGTACTGTTTCCGTAGGGTCTCTTGGGTGAACAAGTATGATGATGGAAGACCCGAAACTTGTCATGACCCCAAGTCATAACATCACTGACAAGGCGATCCTTAGCACTCATTGTCATTTTCAAGAGTAATTTTATATTTACATCATTATAAAAATGTGAACCAACTACAATAAAATATTTACCATTTTGTAAATTGTTATAAAAATAATTTTTATTTATTAATTTTTAAAAAACATTATGGACTATAAAGTAAGAAAATTTAAATAAACACGTGATTTTTCCAAACATTATACATTTCCTTCTACTTTTAATTTTTCTAATTTTTTAAGTTTTGTAATTGTAATCTATGATCATTGATGCCTAATCAATAGAAAAAATCCAAAGCCTGAAACTCCAATAGCTTATCGATAGTATACACATATAACTGTAGTATTTCTTTGGCACAGGTCTTATGATAGAATTTGGTGGAAAACAATTCTGGGAAAAATTAAAATTAGCTATTTATAAAATTTATCATTTCAACTGTATTTTCTCAAATTTCTAATTCCCGTTGACTTTTTTTTTTTTTTTTTTAAGCATCAACTCACTTTTTTTTCCTTTTATTTTTTTCTTTTTGTAAATAAAATACTATCTGTATCTTTGTGCCTGTATTAGGAAATGTAGAAAACGATGATAGAATGCAAGGGCGATAATTCTTCCACAATATACAAGAGTTATTGCCCCTAACACACCCTATCCTCTACTTATAAGAATTTTTTCTGTAAACTTTTGTGCTTGTGAAAAGTAGTCTATTTTGTGAAATATATTTGAAGTGCTTTTAATAATATCTCTAATAATATCTTTTTGAACACTTGAAATGCATCGGTAATTGAAGACAAAACACATACCTGTATCAATAATAATGATGGAATACACACATCTATATTTAAGGTGATATACCTTTACTGAATAATGTTAAAAGTAATTATTAATTATATAATTTGCTCGTGCCATCTTTTTGCATTTGTCAATATCTTGTCTTTCCTTTGTGCAGCTTCTCGTGTTGGGAATGAACTGATGAATTATATGAAGAGATATCAAATCAAACCTTTACGGAATTTCTTGGTTCCATTAGCACAGGTAAGAAAAAAAGGAAATAATACTTGTTTATGCTTTCATTTTTTTACTTCAAAAATAATTTTTATTTTTAAATCCCTGACATGTGCAAAACTGCAGATGAATACTTCACCTGCAGTCAAGGTTATGAGATGGACTTCAAAATAAAATACATGAATTCAACATAGCCTCTTTGATTTTGTTTGGTTAGATCAGGAGTTCCCAATATTTTTGTGTCATCATCCACTTTCATATAGAAAAATTTTCCATTGTATAACAAATATTCAAAAGCATACCAAAATTGTTTGCTAAAAGTTTGTTACTGGTTCTTAGACTGACTTTAGTTAAAAAAAAAAAATATTAAAGGGAGGTAACAAATAATGCTGACATGTAGCAGTGGCTGCTGCTGCTACTATTGTATTAAAGAACAAATGAAAGCAGACTTGACCATTGAAAACTAATATATATATATATATATATATATATATATATATAGCTTTATTGACTTCGCTGCAAGTGCTGACAAAAAATTAAATGACTTTTCTTCATAATTATAAAATTAAAAGTAATATATACTACTAGCAATTGATGAAAATGGATGAACATGTCCCTGTTGGAAATGTCTCTCTTCATTGGTCGATTGATGACAGAACTCTCTTACCACTTTTTAATTCAATATACTTGGATGTATTTCACAGCTCCATCCATGAAGTATTTTGGTTGTTGCATCTCTGCACAAAGCTGACTTGAGCTCTACTATTTTAACTATTCTTATCCTTACTTACTGTAACTTACTTCTGGGCCAGAAAAAGAAAAATGAACCTACACAAGAGATATTGAGAACTTTGTTTCTATACAGTTTCCATTGTAAAAAAGAAAAGAATAAATGGTAATAGAAATGGAAGTTTTGTTGCTTAATTGTTTAATGTGAACAGGCACCCACCTACAATTCACCACTATGCAACCTTTCAATTCCATATATATATATATATATATATATATATATATATATAAGCAATATTATTGGTTGTACCCTGGTGTCTTAGCTTCAGTCATTTTCTCACTGCCATAATGTAGCTTCCCTGTACTTTTTTCTACAAATACTTTCATGGTAGCTGTTCGGATGAACTCTCTGCTATGGTACCTAGACTTTATGAATTTAAGTGCAATACTAGATTGTCAACAAGATCTTGTCATTTTACAATTGAATTGGCTAAATGTAACTGTAAATTCTATGTTAATAGTTTCTTTTCTTGCATTTCTTGCTTGTGGAACATTCTTTCAGGTCCTTGCTTTCCTGTCAACTTTGATCTTCGAAAATTTAAATGCAATATCGATCATTATCTACCATCTTCTTGATTACTCTTCTATTGTTCTCACTCCATAATAATGTTTCTCTTTTTTTCTTATTCTTTCATACTCTGTAACCCCTTGTGTCTTAGTGGCTTTACTACCTTACATGGGGTGAAATGATTAAAAAAATGTCTGTGGCTGTTAGGTTAAAAATTCTGATGAACAAGGATTTTTTGAACAAGCAATTTTTTATTTATATATAAAATATTACATCTAAAGTATTATTTTCTTGTTTTCCATAACCCATGAATAGGAATCTTGTTGCAACCTATTGTATCCTATTTAAAATCAATGTTATTTTTCTTCTTAACAGATGCCTGTTTTTATTTCTGTATTTGTTGGTTTAAGAGGCATGGCCAATCTTCCTGTAGAAAGTATGACCTCTGGCGGAATTTTGTGGTTCACTGACCTTACAGTTACTGACCCTTACTATGCCCTCCCATTACTCACTGTGACAACTTTATTGGCTACAATTGAGGTAAGACAATCCAGGGATGGCAAACTTTTATAGTTGCTGGGTCATTTTTGGTACTTTTAAATTTTTCATAAACGTAAATAGTTAACTGAAATACTTAACGATATTTTTTTTAATGAGAAACTTGTTGCTGCATGTTAGTTGCTGTTTTAATGTGAATTAACTATAAAGGAACTCTCCCAAATGAATTTGGAATAGTCACAAATTTTAAATTATCCAAGCAGACACTTAAAAATAGACAAGACTATGACTGATAAAATGCAAAATGGGACAAAATCTTCCTGTGTAACTGTACAAAATGTTATAAAACTGGCTGAGTATCAGCTAGATGTATTTATGTCTCCACAAGGTGCAAACAAAACTCAGAAAATCACTAAATTTTATTGGCTGCATCATTTTTCATGACTTCATTTCACTGACTCTTCATGGGTCACTAAGTGGTTGATGGTGTCTCCACAAATTCATTTTCTTATATTTTCTGGCTGATCATTTTTGAGTACTTCCTCCTACCTGCTAGGGTGGCTACCTAATTCCTGTTGTGGAGACTTATGGCCATGTCACACTGAAACACTGGTTCTTGTATGGTCACCAATGTTAATCAGCATTGAGTTTGATTAGTACCTAGATGGATGACTGTTTGGGAATACCAGGTGTTGTAAGCGTGGAAGTGTGGGTGGAATTTGAAATCAGAGAGCCAAGTTCCAAATCCAGTGGGGTTTGTTATATTCACTTACACACAAATACTCTTGGGGAAAAGTATGAATCCACCTATTCTCCCCCCCCAGGTATGAGTTAATTAGTAGGACTTGTATCTGCAAATCATTATTATCTCCCCCAAAATTCTTATGATCTAAAAATATTTTCTGACTTTAACCTTTATCACTCTGTGTGTGACTTCATTTGCTGTGCAAAATGCTTATCCTCTCACTAAAGGTGACTCTGATCTCAGAATTTGAATTTGTTTGGATTTTATAGTTGTTTTCATGTCCTGTTATGGCAACAGAAAACACTTTTGTGTAAAATTAACAATAAGGTCACTGCAATTGAGAGGCCTAGAAAAAGAATGCATTGGAATGGGAAGTAATATTAATAATGCAGAATGTTAAAGGTTAAATAACTTGCAAAAAGTCGATAAGACCTAGAAAACAACTCAATTGCTCAACCCTGTTGCAGACACCTGTTCAAGTACATTTGTGTTTCTGCAACACTCACAGAGTGGGGACCTTAGTTAGAGTTTTCGGGAGAGAGTACAAAATCAAGCATGATCAGTAGTTGAACAAGGCACTCTCAAAACCCTTTTTGTACAGATACAAATATTGATGATTTTTGAATAGTTTTGTCTTCCCAATTTCACTGCAAATGCTTCAGTCAACCCATAATCAGGTTTCCAGGCACTTCTCAATTGTGATGCATGCTGAGTTCCACTCCACAGACCAATATGCTGCTTTCATGACAAATTGAATGTGAAAAGATTAGAACTTGAGTATTATTGTTAGGACCCCAATGTTTTAACCTCTTTGCCACAATTCTTATGATCGGTAAATTGGCAAGACTACTTTCATAAAGATAGTGGCATGGTTTCCCATTGCCTTCTCCACAGTTTTGAAAGCTATCCCAAGAAGTCGTGGTAATTGACAGATAAAGAGAAGGAATCTGTGATAAGTCATGATTGCCTAGATTCTGAATGGCATTAACGAAAGGCCTAGATTCTGAATGGCATTAACGAAAGGCCTAGATTCTGAAGGGCATTTATGAAAAGCCTAGATTCTAAAGGACATTTATAAAAAAAGATAAAAGACAATTACATCAAAATGTAAAATGTTTAAATCTGGTTGTATCAGTAAATTGAATAATTTTAATGTTTGGTATTGTTTCTTTGCAGTTGGGGGTCGATGGTGTGAAGACTGGCACAATGTCTCACAACATGAAGTGGGTCTTTCGGGCAATGCCTGTCTTTTTGTTTCCAGTCATCTCAGGATTTCCAACTGTAAGTACTTTGCTTACTCCCATCCCCTTTTCACCTGTCAGCAGGGTGTGACCTTGATGTTAACGGCCCTACATAACTTATTCTGTTTTCCCCATCCAATCTCTTATTTTTACTCACTGGTGCTTAGTATGAACTTAAATTTCTGAGGTGAAATAAAAATTGGTGAAAATTATGAAAAAATATATATTACCAACAGTTTGCTTGACCTAGATGTGTGACTTTCTGTATTGGTATGTTACTGGAGGTCTGAGTATTTGTACATGGTTTATCATCCATTATATAAAGCTGCTCTGCCTTAGCTGAAATCCTTCTTGCCTCTATAATGTCCGATTTATTTTTTTTTCTCATTTCAGGCTATGCTGTGCTACTGGTTTACCTCGAATGCTTTCTCACTTCTGCAAGTGATGTTTTTGAAGATTCCAGTGATTCGTGACAAGCTGAGTATTCCTCAGTTGATCAAACATGACACTAACATGATGCCGAAAAAGAAAGGATTTCTGGAAGGATTTAAAGAAAGTAAGTGAAGCATAAACAATTTCCTTGAGTGATTAGTAAAAGTTTTAAAGATTTTCTTTTTCTTCCTATGATGGAATCTGGAATAATATTTCAGTTTGGTGAATTTGTCAAAACAATAACTGATTTTTTTGTGTTTAACGCAATTTTAAAATTTGAAACCAAAATTTCATAGATCGAAACTCAGGGAATTTACGGTTGCATTTCAAGTGTTATGCTCAAAAAGATATTAGAGATAAAAGTTATATTAAAACTTCATATATATTTTACAAAATAGACTGATTTTATTGAACACAGCAGAATCTAAAACTAGAAGATGGGGCGTGTTAAGGGGCAATAACTCTGTATATTTGGGGAGAATTATCGCCCATGCGTTTCCTCCTTAAGTTTTCATTTCACGATGGAGAAATATCTTATGCGGGCACTAAAGGAATAGATAGTATTTTATTTACAAAAAAAGAGTTGATGCTTTTTTTTTTTTTTTTTTAGGAATGCTAAGTTGAAATGATAAATTCTATAAATAGCAAATCTGTTATTTTTTTTTTTTTCCTTGAATTGTTTTCCATCAAATTCTATTACAAGACATGTGATAAAAGAAATACTACTACAGTTATGTGTATACTATTAAATAAGAATTAGGCATACAACTATAACTCAATTTAACATCTAGGCTGGTAGATGTTAATTTCACTGTTTTTAAATTAACCAGGATGTTTACCCATATAGGTACCCACTAAAATAACATTTCTTTTGGATTGAAAAAAATCTATTATTTACTTAAATACATATGATGATGTGAAAATTTCTCCGATTTAATTGGTAGAGAAGACAATATTTATGAATAAAAATGACAATAGGAAAACTGGTAATTGCTGATGCGTTTCGTCCAATGTGGACTTTATCAAAGTTAAATACAAAAAAAAAAAATTTTTTTTTTTTTTTTTTTTTTTGTATTTTGCTTTGATAAAGTCCACATTGGACGAAACGCGTCAGCAATTACCAGTTTTCCTATTGTCATTTTTATTCATAAATTAAATACATATATATTATGTACAGCACAAGATTTGTCCATTTATGGGATGTTTTTTTTTCTTCATTATTTGTATGCACATGGATAAACAAAATTAGAAAAAAAACAAAGCCTATTTTTAAATTTCTTTTTTTTCTCTCTTTTTGTTTTGTTTCAGGCTGGAACAATGCCAAAGTGGCATCTGAAATGGAACAAAGGCAGAGAGTGGATTCTTTGAAATTCAAAGAAGCGGGTCTTGGTCCAATTCAGAAGACTTATGCTACAAATCCTAAAGGGATGCTTGCCAAAAAGAAATAATTCTGTGATAAGTTTACTTTGGGCTGCAGAAAAGAGTGGAAAAGTCAGTGTGGGGTGGGGGTAGGGATTAGAGAAAAAGAAATCACCAAATATTGACATTTTGAAAGGAAAAACTAAAGAGAAAAGTTAAAAGATGAGTTTGAGTGTATAAGGATCAGCATGTCTGTCTCTTGATGCTGTCAGTCAAAAGTGGTTTAGGCTGAGATGAATCAAGAATGGTTGTAATATAGCTGCTGTTCAAAGAACAAATAGTGTTTTCTTGTCATTACAATAATTTACTGTCTTATCTCTTTGTGTCTTTTCCTCTCTTTAGTCTATTTTCCTCTCTTTATTTCCTTTCTTTTCCTTTCTATCCTCTCTTTTCTTTTTCCTCTGTTTTACCATTTTTGTCTTTTTTTATCTTTCTATCCTCTTTTTTTTTTTTTCTGTTTTTTGTCCATTTTTTTTTGTCTTCTTTTTTTTTTCTTCTTTTTTTTGTCTTCTTTTTTTTGTCTTCTTTTTTTTCTTTTTTTTGTCTTCTTTTTTTGTCTTTTTTGTCTTTTTTTTTTTTGTCTTCTTTTTTTTGTCTTCTTTTTTTTGTCTTCTTTTTTTTTTTTTTTTTTTTTTTTTTTTTCTTTTTTTTTTTTTCTTTTTGTCTTTTTTTTTTCTGTCATCAATGTCAGAAAATTATGGATACAAGTGACTTTCTACTGAAGTCCATGAATGCAAAATAAGTAAATGATTATTTTCAAATTAGATTTTATCTCATCTTATTTCTGTTCAGGTAATTTAAACATTCAATGTAAAATAAATTTTATGGATCAGGAATTTGTCACTTCTGATGAACTTTGAACTTGCATCATCCTATACGATTGGCAGAATAACACTCCTTACTGATTAGACTACAGGAAGACAACCAGCTTCATAATCTAAATTAGAACAAAGAAACTGACTGCAAGCAAGAATGGACAATAAACAAAGAATGGAATCTGCAAATTAAGTTTGAATTCCAGCTGCAGTTACCTGTGTTTACTGAGCATTGGGAAAGGCATGAACCCACGTCCTTGTACAATGTTCCATCACTAGATAGCTTGCCCAAAAATATCTTTTAAGGGAGACATATCATAAAATGTTAATTATAGAGTACTTTTCCTTATTTATTTACCTTGAATAGGGGTAAAAAGTGTGTGTACAAATGAAAAAATCAATCACCTATCAGCTTTTTTTTTTCTTCTGGAGAATAGTTTCTTTCCTAATGACATTTCCAATGTTATTATTACTGCCATCTCTTCATCTTGTTCAAATTAGCATTTCTTTTGTAGCCTTTTCAAACACAGGCGGAGATTGCATAATAAAACTGACTTTTTCCTGGTTGTTTTGTTTAGAAGGAAGCATGCATCTGACTATTGATGGAACTTTACAGTCAGGACCTGCCATGCCACTTCCATGGAATTGAATCACTCACATTTCCTCCATATCTCATTTGTAAGCAGAAAGTTCCACACTGAAAACACCAAATACTGCTGGTTAGCTAACCTATTGTGCATTTTTTTGATAAAATAACATTTTTGACACAGAGGTAGACCAATATTTTATGAACAAATCTGGATGTGGAGCCATCGCCCAACTGCCTCATTGACAGCTTTGACAGTCATTTTCCAAAATGGATACCAGCAGACACCCAAAAGAGACACAGAAGTTAGATAAATTTTGCTGCTGAAGGTTTTAATGAATGTTATTGAATGTTTTGAATCAAGACATGTCAGATAGCTCTTTGTTACATTTTGGAAGATGCTGGTAATATTAATTAACATATATAAGCTAATTGCAGGGTTAGAGTTAGCACAGCAAGTTTGAAAACCAGAGACATCTCATCATCCACATGAGTTCTTCAATTAACACCATCAGCTCTGCAAAAGCAAGTCCTGCTATTGCACGTTCATTGTCTGTACCTTTGCTTGCCATTAACTTAATCTTCCATGCATGATTGTACAAGTTCAGGAGACAATTTCGGTGGTACTTGGCCTCCTGTGCAACCATGTCCCCAGTGTTCAGTTGTGTCTGGAGGTCTATGTCATCCAGAATCAATGCACACAACCTGACACGCAAGTCTAGTTGGAATGTTGCAACTTCATGAAGACCAGCACTATCAGGAACTTCTCTGCAGAAGAATCATTTCACTTGGTGTTTTGTCTCCGTATTTGATGGTCATGACATATATTGAGTTCGCTTGCAGGTAACAATTTTCTCTTCCTGGGCACATATTTCCAGGTGTCTGTTCTGAGCTCTGTCTAACTTCAAGTTTTGTGGTATTGTGCATTGTTGGTGCTCAATGCTGCTTTAACATCACTGCCTTCACCTAATCAATCTCAACAGAAGAGAGTTGGGGAGCAACCCAAGTTCATTGAACTTTCTCAGATGTCAAGCAAGAATACCATAGCTTCTCCCCTTGTTTTTCCATGTATTCTGAAATGATGGATTTGTCAGTGACACTGGAGTTGTTTCTTGGCATATGAAGCATAATGACCAGTCTGTCTGTTGCTGGTTGGGTGGAGGTAAACTGAACTTATTCTGCATCATAATGCTCAAAAAGTTTGAAGGTGTTCGACATTGTCCTGGAATTGGAAAATGACAAAGTTCTACGAAAGGAGTGCTTATAATCCAACTGAATTAGGACCTGTTCAATTAAGAGATGTTTCTTATGGTTGTTATATTAATCTATAAATAATTCAATAAATTGATAATAGATAAAATTTAAAAAAAAAAAACAAAAACATGGGCACCTTTCTTTGTTGTTAAGTGCTACCCTACATTAGCAACAACATGCAACATAATGTTTGTACAACATTGCAGATTCAAAACAATTTTTTTTCATGCACATTTACTCAGTACATATCATTTACCTTAGGGATAAGTCTTCCTCAGCAGCCACATGTCGGCCATTTTCCAAAATAGCCACCAGGGGGTAGTTGGGTGATGACTCCACATCCAAATTTGTTCATAATATATTGGTCTACCTCTGTGCCAAAAAATTGGTGTTTTATTAAAAAATGCACAATAGGTTTGAATATCCTAGGTAAACTGCTCCACTAATGTGGATGCTTCTCTGAACATTACAATCTTGACGTCTTTGTGTCAAGGGTCATTTCACTATCTATCCTCATAATCTTCACTTCTTTCTACCTTCTCTTACATTCATATCACACACATCATTCAGTAACTCTCTACCATGAGTGGTTCTTGAGTTTGTACTGGGTAAACTTCAGTTAAAATAAATAATGTTATTTATAGAGTACTGTTGCTCATGTACTTATTTGTTTGAAAGTAAAATGTTTGTGTGTGGTGGAGGAGAAGCCCAATTTTGCACTTAATCCAGGCAGTATAATCTGTAAGGGAGCAAATTCAGTGATTTTTACCCCTTCATCATTTTCTCTCAAAGGGTAATTCTAAGAACTATAGACTTGTCAGGATTATAGTGCCTATTTTGGTTTAGTCAAAGAACTCAAAATAAAGAAAACCTATCATTCTACCAACTTCTTACTAAGATCTTACAGAGGACAAGTTTGCTTTAGAAATAGCAATAGTTTTTTTTTTTTTTTTTTTTTTTTTTTAATTTTTTTTTATTTTTATTTTTTTTTTTTTATTATTTTTATATTTGGCAAAGTTTAACATATGTACCTGAGGGGGGAAAAAAACAAAAGCTAAAAACAAAACAGAAAAATTTTTTACCAAAATGAACTGTTTTTTCTCTTGACACTGCTACTACTATATACATCACCCTCGGCAATTTTTATTGTTTTTTTAAAATCTATTTTTAGAATTTTAATAAAACTGGTCTGGTGCGCTTACTGTGCATCTTGAGATTTTTGGCAAAGAGGATGAGAAGAAGGTCTGCAATATAATCAATCCTGACCAGGCATCTCGTCTCCAGTGACTTTCTTGTCAACATGAATTGCTTCCCTCTGTTCTGTAAATATATTCATAGCAATTGCTTGGACAAGATATTTTCCCCTGGTGATCTGACCACAAGAATTCAAGCGTGCTACTAGATTGGCAATTAGGTCTCACTGTTTTACTGTGGGACAAGCTAGATGCAACCGCCACTTTTACTCTAACAGTTTTTTTTTTTTTTGCATTTCCCTCCTGTAAAACTACCTCTCAATTCCTTGCTTCCCTGATAACTACAATCTTCAGAAATTTAAATGCAACATAAATTATCATCTGTCTTTATGAACCCTGCTCCTTTTTTGTCCTTTTTCTCAATCCTCTCCATTTTCAATCTTCTAATTCTCCTTCACTTTTACTCCCTGAAACCCCCTGCTTTCTTGTGGCATTCTCATCTTGCTTGGAGGGAAACTATTATAAACAAAAAAAACAAAACAAAAAAAAAAAAACATGAAACTGGATTTATACATTATCTTCTTTCTCAAGAATTGACAACAAAAGTATTAAACACTCTTTGTAAACAATCTCATAAATAAATTGTATTTAACATTTTTGTTGTCAGTTCTTGAGAAGAAAAAAAGAGTATAACTTCAGATGCTCGCAAATTATTTTAGTGACATTTTGTGGTGGGAGAAAATGAAATACTCAGAAAATGCATTTTTTCAAAATTGATAATTTTAGGAAAAAAAATACAAAGAAGCAAAAAAAAAAAAAAAAAAGTGTTTGTGTGAAGTGTTTTGTCCTTTACGATTTCATCAGACTAAATTGATGTTCACATTGATGTGATTACACATGTGCACTAGGGAAAGGGGAGGGAACACTGAAAATTTTAACTTCTTTTTTTTTTATTAATTACAGTTAATCGTAGTTAAGTGTTTAACAATTTTTTGTTTTCTTCCCAGACATTTTATTTTTTATAAATGTATGAATTGTTTTCATAGATATTTCTTTTTAATAATAAATATTGCGTTATAGTTGGTTAATATATATTTATAAGCTTGTAAATTTAATTTTCTTGTAAACAGTCTGATAAATAAATGTAGTTTAATATGTTGGTGGCCAATTTTGGATTAAAATGAATACATAAATCTGAAAATTGCTGAGAGCAGTGTATACAGTAATAGCGTTTTTAAGAGAAAAACTGTCCTTTTCACACATTATTATTTTTTTTCTTTATTTTGGTAATATTTAACATTCGATCCCGCAACCCCCCCAAAAAAAAAAAAACAACGGCGTGTCAAAAGTACAATTGAGACTGCTATTATTTTAACTACCTTCACTCTTCTGCAATGTTTGTGTTAAAAAAGCGATTATTAGTATTTTAATAAAACCTAAACATATGATGAAAGTAAATTTATGCATTTTCTTGTTCTTGAGAATTGATAATAAAAACTATTAGATCGTTTATTGACGGTATTAGATTGCACATTGGAATGGGTGGAGAAACATTGGCTAATTGCCAATCGATTCGAACTTTATAAAATGGTAAATATTTCCTTATAGCTGGTTTACATAATTTTATAACTTAAAACTAAATGTTTGTAAATTTATGACTGAAAATTTCATATTTATTTCTTTATAAATTAGTAAATGATAAATATTGCGCTGTATTAGTTCTGATTGTATTAACTTTTACAATAATGTAAATATAAAATTCTTGTAAATAAACAATGTTTAATTTTTTTTTTTGCAAATTCTCAAAAACGTATAAATTCACTTTCATATGTTTATGCTTTATTACAATTAAAACAACATTGAGGAGTGAAGAT